GCGGATGCCCGGCCGCCTTCCTCGATGGCCTCCCCGCCTCTGCTGCAGCCAAAAGCCCCGAGAGCCGTCGACTGCCTTGACGGGGCCACCTGCGATCCTCCTCGGGAGGAAAAGGCGGCAGCAGCCGTGGCCTCTGGCCTCCCCCAGGCGATCCCGGGTGGGACCGGGGCGATCGCTGAGAAGGCGCCTGCACTGCCCACCCTTTACGTGCAGTTCCACGGAGAGACCACCCGGCGCCTGGAGGCGGACGAGAAGCCATTGCAGATCCAAAATGACTACCTCTTTCAACTGGGATTTGGGGAGTTGTGGAGGGTGCAGGAGGAAGGCATGGACTCGGAGATTGGCTGCCTCATTCGCTTCTATGCAGGTAAGGAAACCACCTGCACTTGGACGTGTGGGGTGTCAACACTTCCAGGTCCCGAAAAAGGAGTCAAGTCGGTGTCTGTTGGCCAGACCCCAGAGTAAACGCTGGTCCTTGGCGCTCTTTGTTATTTCTTTACAGCGTTCACGGTGGTAATCTGTGTAATACTCAGTTGAGCAATTGTTCAGTGCGCGGGTTTGGCCAATCTTGAGGGCTCAGAGGTTGGGAAGCCCTGTGGAGGAGGTGGCAGAGCCACCAGGAAGTGCTGCAAGCAGAGACTCCTGACAGAGGCGGTAGTACATGTAACAATGAACCTGTTGGGTTTTGTGGCAGTTTGGGATTTCAGGTAATCTATCACGTGCATTTAATACCGATAGAAGAAAATGGCCAACAGAAATGCTCGAATACACTCTCTCTCCATTGACTGTCCGCTGTTGGCCATTTTAGGCGTCATAGACCCCCCAGGAGCTCCTTACTTGTCAACCGGTGCACGTTCAGTTCTCTGCCGTGTTTCTATGCCCACTTAGTCCTCCTTAGAAACTTCACAGATGGGATCCTTTTAGTGATACTTCCCCCCAGTGCTTTTATGCTTTATTACAGTTTCCTCTGAAAGTTTGATTCTTGCATCAAAAACAATTTTGTCTATTTATTTCCTATTTCCTTCATTTCTTTCTTACAACCTTTATAGCCAGAACTGACCATTGCAGTGTGATTTGCAATTGAGATTAGAGTAAGACTTTAAGTGGTTAATATCTCTAAAATCCTCCTCGTTCTTTTTTCAGTTGTAGGTTAAATTTTTTTAAAATATTCTATTCTTTACTTATTCCAGCTTTATTGAGATATAATTGACATATCAAATTCTTGACTAAGGGTGACTAATATTTCTCCTTTGGTTAAAGACTTTTTTTTTTAAAATATATTTTATTGATTTTCTACAGAGAGGAAGGGAGAGGGATAGAGAGCCAGAAACATTGATGAGAGAGAAACATCGATCAGCTGCCTCCTGCACACCCCCCACTGGGGATATGCCCACAACCAAGGTACATGGCCTTGACCGGAATCGAACCCGGGACCCTTCAGTCCCCAGGCCGATGCTCTATCCACTGAGCCAAACCGGTCAGGGCTTTTGGTTAAAGACTTGACCAGTAATAAATTAGGGAGCCACAGATCCTGGTTGTTATATTTGAGCTTTATAAGTTGTTTGCATCCTTTTCTCCTCCTGGTTTGAAGAATTAATTATGTTCTTAGTGATAAGGAATTTTAAAAAGTTAGCATAACAATATTAAATCAGGAAAGTTAAATCTTCCCCAACTTTATTATTCTAGGTTGTGGAAAAATAATCATACTTGTAACTAATCTGTAGCCATTTGTGCTATTTAATTATTTCTGGTCCAACTTGTGTCAGTTCAGTCAGTTTGAATGAAGAAAGAAATCTTTATCCCACATTGAAATATGCACGACCAGTAACATTCCTGTTATGTTCCTCTGAGTTTCATTGAAGTTTTTCTGTAATTTAAGTGGATTTCTGATAGATTTTTGCCTTATAAAGAAAACCATGTCACACAATATAATAGTATTTGCTGTTTCTGAAGATAAGATCCCAACTGGATGACGTACCTGTAAGTTTATGGGGCCTGGAAAATAGGTGGCTTTATTTGTTATGTAGGAGTGACAGTTATATCCTTTTCTCCTGTAGCTCATCTACTATGCAAAATTACAAAAGCTTTAAATGGTACTCACACTTATCATGAGAATATTTTATTAACTTGAGAATGATAAATACCCATATAAACAAACTAATATATATGGAATATATTAAACATTATTGAACATATTTTATATGGGAAGAGCTCTGCTCTCTTGTTTTCCTCATGATTACTAGTAGATATGTTGGTCATGATAAATGTTAATGGGAAGTTTTTGGGTGTCATGGTCATGAAATTTTAATCTTGGATTTCCCCTAGATTGTCTCTTCAGGTGTGTCTAAAATACTCTTAAGTGAATTATACACAATATTTTTTTTAACATCTAAGTATAAAAGTGACAAGTTATATTTCTTGTGAATTTTTGTGGTCTTTTTGTTTTGTTCATGAAAAGCAGTAATTGTCACTTCATTCTGAACTTATTTACTGTATTTCTGTATTCACACCATAAATACATATATACTTCTCTGTATACACTCATAAAAATAACTAATAGGGAGCCACACACAGTATCCAACCTGTTCTAGAATATGAAGCCAGTGTACAGGTGTCTAGAAGGAAGATGCCTGGTTGTTATAAAGATGTCTAATTGCCTTTTTAATATACAAAGTTTACCTTATTTTAAACCTATATTAATATTCCAAACATCAGTTGCTAAAGAACAAAATTGAGCAAAAATGAGTCCACTTGAACTTTTGCAAGGAAGTTGATAAACAGAAGAGCCTTGTTATTAGGTGGTCTCACTTATTATGTATGGGAACATTGTCAGGACTTCACATGCAGCAAAAGTTTGCACCACGCTGGAGGAGATTCCTAGAAATTACTCCTGTGTTGCAGTGGAATGTAGGGCACACAACTGGAAAGTGTTACATTTTGGTAGTAATTCTTTTCCTTAGGAAGAAGAGAATTAGTGTTTGTTTTAGATGACACCCTCTAAGAGGGTGTTGTACGCCACATTTGCTTTTATAATTTAACATGTAACTTACTCTTGAATTTATTGCTGAATATCTTTTTGTTTATACTTGTACTTGGAATTAAGGATAGAGTAGGAAGTTATCTTTGAACTTTTAGAATATCTTCCTATATTTAAATTGAGCATGTTATGTGCTGTCTATCTAGTTTATTAAGTCAGCTGTGTTTTTTGAGAAGTTCTAGTTTGGCCGAGAACTTTCATTCTCTTGAGGGTCACCTTTCAATTAAATTTCAGTATTTATTATCCCACTCAAGTTATTTTTAAAAGGCTTTGAAAGCCATTTGTGGTTGCTTTGAATATTTAAATATTTATTTGGGTAAAGTGAAATGACAGTCCTTAAGGAACTAGAAGGTATTGGACAAAAAGTACTCATTACTAGGTTGTTAATGAAAATTTATTTTGGAAATTGTTATTGCTCCTACCAAGCAATCTTTTTTTGTTGTTGATTTAAAATATGAAAACATTTAAATGGCTTTCTCTGAAGTTACTTGCCTTAAGTATGGGAAGTATGTTAACATTTAATTTCCATTCAAAATCAGCTATCTTAAATTTTGTCTTAGAGTAATTTTAGGTTAAAAAAATTCAAGAATTTAGGTTTCTCAACATAACTTATGGACTTCAAAAAACTCACGAGCTTGTGTTTTGGAGTCTGAGTCATTGATGAAGTGCAGTATTAAACTATATATTTTTATAGTTTTTACTTTCTACCACCTTTTAGACTTTAGTAGTCTAGCTATTTCAGTTCAAATTTTAATGGTAGGAAAGGAGTTGACGGAATGGAGAACACATCCACTGTGCCTAGTGAATCTTGGACAAGATATTTTTATGTGTGACTTCTTAGGATTGCTGAGAATGATCTCGTTACCCCTCTCATATATCTTCTCTTTTTCTCTTCTGGGAATGATCAAACCTTACATGGCTTCCTACATGCAAACCAAGAAGGGGTGGTTCAGCATTAAGCTGTAATATTGACAAGCAGTCTCTTATTACTATAATTACAGCAGTATTGAGTAACGTGGTATGAACATGTGACACCAGTGTGTGTCTGAACAGTCCTTTTAATTTTAAGAACAAAAGGTTTAACTTTGTTTTTTATATTTGTCATTTTGATGTAAAGTGCATGATATCTTTTCTTTCGTAGCTGGTCTGATGACATGGATTAACATGTTGGGTTTTATTTTCTTCAAAAATCTTAAAGGGCTTTCACATAAATTATCTCATTTGTCCTTGCAAAAACATTATCAAGGAGGAGTCTGTGTCAATCCTCTTTTCAGATGGAGAAACTGAAGCACAGAGAGGTTCCACTCTTGCTTGTGGTTTTTCAGTCTTTGGCAGAGCTGAGAATAGATTAGCTTGGGTATTCTGTTTTGCAATTCATATCACTTTCCATGAATCGATGCTGAATTTCATTTGCACTTGAATTTTCGCTTGGTTAAAAGCATTCAGAAAATATGCTATTTTTGTTGGTAATGAGGTGATATTGTCCTCTAGTCCAAAGTGGTGTTCGTTGTGAAATGTGGAGGGTTCTATTTTTGTCATGCTGCCTTTAAAAACGTAAAGAACCAAGACTGGCAAATAAGTAGACAGGATAGAAAGAGACTGAAATGTTCTAAAATAAATATCCTGGTTGCAAATAGTTATACTTGCATTTAAGGTGATATGAAATAAAGTTTACCTAACAATTTTCTATTTTCTTATTCATGCATGCCTCATTTTTTAGACTGTAAATCTTCATTGGCTATAGAGAATTAACGCTTCATCTGAAAAGTGGATAACTTGAGGCTAGGGGTGTGACAATACAGTTCCTTTAAATAATAGCTGTACTTGTAAAGTTTTGAAAAAAAAAACACCTATCATGAAAGGTTTTCTATTTTAAAACAGAGTTATTTGTACTTTAGTGATCAGTACTGCTTTGTTGGTATTACTGTGTTGTTGTACAGTTTTTATAGTTTATATGTTATATAGTGGTAGAGAGTTAGCTGTTGTCCCTGAATTTCATAGTTATTCCTAAAATGGGGTATTTGTGCTCATTGAAATAATTGTAGGGAGAGGAGATGTGTGTAAATGAGTTTGTAAAGTTTCTGTATTGAAATATGTATCTTTTTGTTGCTATAAGATTGTTAAATCAACCTCCTTAAGTGATTGGTTATTCAAAGATTATTATTTTTAAAGTGTAAGGTGTTTTTGTTGTTTTTTATTCTCTTTCTCTTTAGAACCCTGAATTTGATTTATCGGTAACATAACATTCATTGACATCGTATATGATCCAAGCCTAGCATAATACTTGGCATTTTAGTTTAAACATTTGTTGAGTTGAATTTGTGGAATTT